AAATTAGACATCATGACACTCCTACCTCGCACCCTAATGTCCAGGGGCCTCATTTATAAAGGGATATACGCTCAAAAAATGGCGTACGCCAGTTTCTACGCAATGTTTGTATAAAATACTAACTTGACGGGAAAATGTGCTGTCCTCCACGCAAACTCTAACCCATGCGTACGCACTAAGCACACAAACGGGAGAGACGAGAAACTGCGACACCGTTTGCAGAAGGAAGAATGGAGAGAAATATGTGGAAATAATACCATAAATAAAATGTTACCTCATTTATCAAATATGAAGAATTCATTTTCAAACATTGATTAAAGCCAATCTTAAAATGATTAAATAAACGCCTGTTTGAGACTCCTCAGTGCACACAAAAACATAACTTGGAGAAATAAATAAATACGGATATGTTATTTAAAACCACCTCGAATATGTTGTGTTAATGTTATGAAATGTTTTCTCATAAATGATGCGGTAAGCAGGAGGACAGAATAACGTCTAAACTGACGCCGTTTTGCATTTCTATAGGTTGTAGATACAAGCATGGTTTTATATACTATCACGTTTAATCGTGTTTTATGCCGTTTGCCAAGACTTGATAAGTCGCTCGTAAAACACAGGAGGTATGGAAACTAAGAACACCATATGTGGTAAATTGTACAGCTGTTAGTTGTATTTCCTTTAACTGGTGGATTATGGATATATAGTTGCTGATCGACAGCTGGAACGCAAACCACCAAATACAAAAAAATAATTCAGATCCAGTCGTCATGACTCCACTCCGGAGGGATTCCCCGATCATTTCTTACAGTTTCTCATCAAGGAGGTGTCTCCTGTCCCCGGGACAAACACACTGCCTGAGGAAGGTTATGTGTATTTTTTTTGTCATTAACTTTTTTCGGACCACTTATTTATTTATTTTGGTGACGATCCGACCTCCATGCTGCTACTCTGGTTCAAACTGCATCCACCAAACAATATGATTTATCTCGACCTCCCCAAAAGAACCTAAATCTGACACGGTGTGAGATGTCTTTTTTAGCTGTTCTATCGTCATTTCCTGCGATCTTCTTCATGCAGTCAGTCAAAATGAATGAATGAATGGGCGTTTCTTTGACTATGTATAGGCAAATATGGGCGTTACGAGTCGATTGTGATTTATAAAGGGAAACAGGCGTAGGGAGTGCCGTACGCACTTCCCTCGCCGGTACGCAATGTTTTGTGAATCGGAAAATGTCGGAAAATGTATGTACCTATTTTTGTGCTTTGTACTACGTAAGCAACCTTCCTACGTCAATCCTACGCAAGGCGTTATAAATGAGGCCCCAGGACACACATGGTGCCGTACGCTGCACGTGTGCTTATCATTATGGCTTATGCTTTTTATCTGGGCATCCGTAGAAACATGTCAGAGCAGCCACAGTTTCAAAATGAGCAGCACAAGTCATGCCTGTTTTCTTCTGTGAGACGCACGTGGTTCTTTGCAAAAATATATCCGGCAACAACCTGTCAAAAGTCTTAACACCATGTTTCATTACAGATTTAATGTATTTATCTGCAAGTTTTAAATGATTTCTAGTTTAATGAGAGAAGCTGCTCCAGACTGCAACTACATTTTCAGTATGATCATGGTCTTAACTAAATACGATAAGTTGTTGTGTTAAACACTGATATGAGAAACATAGCAATATGTCTACAGTCAGCTGTGGTAGCTTAAAAACATTATATTTTGTCATTGTAAGCATTACAGGACTACGTTTTGCATCACCTTATAACCTTGTGTTGTAGGAAACTCCCAGTCTTAAAGAAGCTGCTCCATACTGGTACGATAGTGGATTCTTCTGTCTCTCTGGTTTCAGATGCTGTTGTCTGTTAGTATTGTTTATGTGTAGAAATCTAACCTTATTGATGGTCTATAAATGGTACAAATAATGTTCTGTAAAGTTGTATCACCTAACTTTGGAAAGTATCTCTCATTAATATTTCAGTCCATTTCATGTCATGCCTTTCAGCAAAGAGAAGAAGTAAAAATTCGCTGGACACCATGCTCCGAGTGGTAAGTTTTTCCTTAATGACCATACATGTATGTGTTGTACTGGAAGCAAAGGGTTTATACACTGATACAGTAGGCTCATCTCAACTGAATATTTCACCTCCTTCTTTCCCTCACTCGCGTCCCTTCCTTGCGTCTTAGCTCCGCCTCCGTAAGACGCGAGGAAGAGACGCGAGGAGAGAGGAGTCCTCAGGTATGAGTTGGGATGTCCTCGTTCACTCCAGCGTCACCATAAACAATGCCCTTTACTTCTGGTGCGCACAGTTTTATCACTTGTCATTGGACTTCCCTCCACATCAATCCCTTCAAACCTGGGATTTAGTTTCACATTGAAATGATTAATTTCTTTTATTATAGTTTTCTATGCATTACTTTCGGTCCTGTATTTGTTTTTCCAGCTATAACATTTCATTTCAGTTATAAATATAATCATAACAATAATAATAATTGATGGATTAATTTCATTATGGTATTTGAGCTTGTTTCAGATCAACTTTTGTGTTGGATGTTGTTATGTAATTTGTCCTACAGAAGAGAGACACAAGTCACTAACATATGTATTAGTTATGCTACCCGTATTTGTATATATCCTAAATGTTTGACGTGCTGTGGGTCTACCACACATGCATCACAAACCACAAAACATTATTATTGAATTTGTAAGTATATTTCACGCACTTTAATGTTTTTATAGAGTTCGATCTCCTCATTTGTTTAAGAGATTTAATATATTTTACTCTTAATGAAGCACTTTAAACATTTAATGACTCTGATCCTCCTTTAACGGTAAGATCAGCTGCAGTGAGCAGAGGCTGTGCAGCTGGGGGCGGAGGTCTGATGCGCGAGTAGTGTGCTCTCGTGTATCCTACCTTTCGTCTCCTCTGGAAGCCTCCTCCCTCACCCCTCCTCGACTCCTCCGTTTGCATTGAAGCGATTGTGACGTCCTTCAACATGGCGTGTCTTGATTGATTTCCGGGTCAAGTCCCGGAGGAGGGGGAGAGAGGAGTCGAGGAGGGACATTGAGCTGAACCTAGTGTTTCAAATCCTATTTTAAATTGACTTACTTGCCTGATTAAGCATCAGAAATATATATAGCATGACATATTATTAATTATTCAACTGTTCTTTATGTGTGTTTTGCAGTGGCAAGGACTGGGAGGACACATGGGAGCCTGCCAAACTGTATAGCAGCTCAAAATGATAACATACATACACATACACACACACACACACACACACACACACACACACACACACACACACACACACACACACACCACACACACACACACACACACACACACACACACACACACACACACACACACACTCACACACTAAGTTGTTTCAATAAATTGTTTCAATAAATTGTTGTTTCTGTTGTGTCTTTTTTGTACAATTATTTCTCAATAGGGTAAAGCCATTTAAAATGTTTTAGTTTTTGGTATGTTAATGCAAATGTGACAATCATTATTTGTGGGCTGCCTCAGTCTTAAAACACAAGATAGATATCAATTTTTGTTATGGTCTTCTGTATATGTCATGAATAATACTGGTACAATTTGAATTTGCCCCAAAACGTGGAAATGCAGACCAGATCTTCTAAATGCCAGGGACCGGAACATCAGGAGCATCTCTAAAAGACGATATGTGACAGTCCTGCAGCAACGGACCATATGAGAAACATTATGTTAAAACCTAGAAACTTATTCTAAACCTACTATCAAAGTATTCACCTGAAATGTAGCACAATTTGGCTCCTGTTAAAAGCACTATTTGAAAATGTAGATTTGTCAGGTCAACATGTGACTTATCTGGTTTGCTATAACAGTTTTACTCCCCAGTTGAACTGTATTTGACAATCATTAAATTCACAAACATAATTTGGGAAATAAATCAAAGACAATAGTGTAAATAAGAAAGGTTTAGTTTTTGAAACTTGTAATGGGGACGTTGATACATTAACTGTCAGCAAGTACATTTCTGTCATATTTAGAAGATAGGAAAAAAAGTGAATAACTATTCTCTCTAATGACGATTGATTTTACAGTGATATTTGCATTACTCAACTCAAAAACACAAGATTACACAACATTGATTGGTTTAAATTGTGTACAATGATTTTGTGTTTTTTCTGAGTTTAGGATGGCAGAAGACACTACACTACCCATAATCCTCAGCTATAATACACAGCAACATGTAAATCATGCAATTTATTGTTACTTTGTAATTCTACTCCACCACAATTCAGAGGTTAACCTGGTATTTTTAGTCCACCACATTTATTTTAGTTACTTTGCAGATTCTGATTAATGATGTGAAATATAAACAACCCTTAAATCAGACTTTAGTTACACCTGAGTAAAATTCAGGGACTGTATGAAATGGCTATTTGGCACATCCCTTTCAAGATGTTCTCAGGTTTATTGACATATCATATACACAACTACGGTGTAGTTATGCAATGAATGAAAAACTTTGCAGGTTCGTCAACAGTGCATTACAAGAGATCTATCAATATGTGTGTACCTCCACCATTAAACAGTCATATTCTGCACATTTCTTATACTATCTACATACATCTTATAAGAGTATAATTAATATGTAATATCAGTTAAAATAAGTGCTTAAACGTAGTTAACATTACAGGAAAGTTGATTGTCAAGACCCAAAACAAAGTATGCAATATATTAGACTTTAAGTACTTTGTCAGGCTTAATATTTATCTGTAGATTTACCAAAGCTTTTTGCTTATATGTATTTAAAAGAAGACCTTAACTTAAAGTATTATTTAATGTTTTAATAAAGCCTGATTAGTTTGTCTGATTTGCACATCCTCCTATTAATATCTGTGTACATCCGGCACTAAACTTTTATTGTAGAGATCACTTACAGTAGCCTATCTTCTTGATATTTTCTATTCTATATTTCTATCATTGACCTTCTACTACGTCCATGTCGCAGCGCATGCTTCACAAGCCAACTCTGGCATGCTTAGCTCATGTCGTCCTTGAAAAACAGACAAGGTGTTTTTAATACATTTGGTATTCTTTACTCAATACCCATGTTAAGGTTTAATAAACAAGCTATCCCACATGTACAGGTCTTTGAGAAGGGTTGGATATTATCAAGAAGAAACTTCAATAATATCTATCTTAAGAAACAAGACAAACATTCTTCCCATTCATTGTGATCACAGTCACAGTCTTTCCTGGCTTGAGGCTCAATGACTCTGATGCACAACCACAGATTTTGTCCGGGATCTCCACAGGTACAAACCGCACTGGAAAAAAATTCAAATGGGAATTAAAAATAATTTGTCTCTTTTGAGAAATACAACTTTGTTATGTGACAGATTTAGGATTTAACTTTACATCAGAACATTAAAAAGAGACTCAAGCACACTGCTGGGAATTATCACAGAGATGTTGAGGAAGCTCACATTTTCAAAATGAAGTTCTCAACAAGTCCAGCAAGAAAATGTACATTCACAAACCAGAACTTACCACAGGAGCAAAGGGCCATATTTAGTACATGTGTTGTTGGGGCCAATGGCTGGAAGTAACCTGCAGTAGTAGCATCTCTGTTGTGGAGGGGGTGTCTGGTGTGCATGCTGACATCACAGTCAGCACAGAAGAAGGGATGTGGTCGGCAATCCCGGCACCAGACAACAGACGTTTTGCTCCAACACTGTTGGCAAATGTGTGTTCCCACATTTGCTTGGGCCACTACGGTGTTAACCAGATGTGGTCTCGCTGCCCTCCAGCTCTCTGAAAAAAAACTTGTTCGAGTGCTCCAGTTGGTCGAGGCCAGCAGAGAAGCACTTGGGGTTTGTGCTACCACCTCATCTCCTGTAGTATCGCCCAGAGACTGCTGGAGATCTCGTAGAAACCCCTCTGTTAAAATGGTACAATAAAGTCCAAAGCACAATGATTAGTTTTCTTTAAAACATACTGGATGGAGTGGTTTTGAAAGCTGTAACTACTGTGTTCTTAATTCTAGCAAATTATGACGTTTAGAAATTAAGTACGTATCACATAAAGATACAAGTATGAATATGTGTTTCGGGCTAACCAGACCAAATGAAGTACATACCAACAGTCTCTGGAGCGATAGCTGGAGCAAAGACCAGATCACAGTCAGGGTCAGGAGCATCAACGGGGGGATCAGTGTTACGACTGCAGCCAGCTGTATCAGAAAAAACATTTATTTTATACCATTAAATTGTACTACTTTTCCCTTACCAAGAGTTATGTTTTCATTCATTTCATATACTCAAGTGCCTAGAAATATATATCTTATACTGACCCTCCCCCAACCCTCTACTGACTTCCGGGTTGAACGTGGTCTTGCAAAGATCAAGTTTCCCTCACTGTCTCTCTTCTTCCAGCACATCATTGGCACTGCTGCTGCTGTTGCTGCTGCTGCTGTTGCTGCTTCCACTTTCTGAAACTTACAAAGCAAATCATCAGCACTCCGTAGGTCATCCCTTAACTCTTTCTGCTCAACCAGCTCATCTGCGCTTCTCAGGAGATCCTCAAGATCAGAATCACTCATTATAGTGAAGAGACACAGACAGAGACACAGAAGAAAGACTGACAACAGAGTTAGACAGAGAAATAAATAGAGAGATAGGAAGAGACTATCAAGTACAACACAGCAAGGACAGTTTAACAAGACAGACTTGACTCTTAAATGTGCCTTTGGGTTGTTTGGAGTTTGGAAAAACCAAGGGTTGTTTTTTGGAGAACAAATTGCAGGATCTGTTGAGAGAAAACAACATAATTTAGAAACTCAAAAATAAACAAACAATGCCAGTGTAATTGTTGTTGTTTACAACTTTTCTACTTGGCTAATAACCAATTAATGCTTACTACTGTTGTCATTAAAGGTATTTTCACACCATCGCACAGCAAAATCACTGCCACCAGTCATTTAAAGTGGACCTATCATGCTATATTTAAATGATATATTGTAGGGCCATACCTATATAAGGTATATTTATACGTTTCTGTTTTCAAAATACCAAACAGATCATGCATTTTAGCCATGCCTCATTTCGCTCTATGTGCTGTTTGCTGCCTACGGGTCTGATTCTGCTGACCACGCCCCCCTGCAGGAGAGGGGAGACGTGCTCTGATCAGCTGCTGGGCTGTCAGAAGAGGGGGAGAAAAAGAGATCTCCGTCCTCCGTGTTTTATTATATAGCAGCCCCTTTTTTAGAGATTTGGGTATGGAGGAAAATAGAGAGGGTTGTGTTTTCTGACACTTGGTGAGTTCCCTGGAACACCGGGGACACATATTCATGTATAAAAGACGTACAAAAGTGCATTTTGCATGATAGGTCCCCTTTAAATAAGTAATTTGTACACAAATTATAAAAGTATTATTACTATTAATAATAAAAACACATGGATACAAAGTATTATTAATAATTATTAATAATGTATAACCACCAGTATTTGTTAATATAAGTAATACAAATATATATATACTTGAACTTTAAATTGTGAAAGCAATAGAGAACCGCAGTGACGCGTCCTAAAACCCAGAAGTAAGTTAGCATTTTTACCACGTCCGGTTCCTTCGACAAAAAGCAATGCAATTTCTCCATAGGATTTTGGAAAATAGCTCCAAATAAGGTCTGTGTTTGACACAAATTGAAGAGACAGATCACCTTTTGTTCTACAACATTAAATACATCAGCAGTGACCCCGCTGGTGATTTTTGAAGAGTTTACGTGTCTGAAAAACGATGGTTGTTAACATGTGGCTGAATAGGACTACAGAAGTTGTGGAGGACGTTGTACGTCATTACACCGAACACGTAAACACTCCTCTAAGTTTGTTTTTCCGCGTGTTCTGCTTGAAAGCAAGTACCTGCCTCCTGCAAACTGTTCAAACAAACGCTTCAACTTGTACAATTTAGAATCTGTATGTTCAACACATCCTCACTCCCAGGTCGGCTTATGTTGACGTTATGTCAAGGTCCCCTGTGGTCTTTTTCCAACGCAAGGGGGGCGGCCCTTAGCGTACATTTTCAACTTTCCGGGATGTCCATAGGCTTCTTGAGATCGCGAGCGAATGCTTCCCACCGCGGGCCATTCTCTGCTGAAGCATACGTTGCTGCATTGCATTAAAAACATTATGCTCTCTATATATTGTCTTTATTATGCTTTAAACAGTGTCTTTGGCTATAGGGCGGCTCAAAGTATTTTGTCCGGCCGTTGTGAAGACTGCTTTGTTTATTGTCCTTGTTTTGTTTTAAATAAAGCATTTTCAATCCAGGCACGCCAAACATGTGACGTCATATGACGCGTCGCACAGGGAGCATGGAGGGAGACCCAGGGGAGACCCCGAGATCCGTATTCCCCGTATTTTTTAAATAAAGAGATGTTCAATCACGGGCGCTCATCAAACGTGTGACGTAATGTGGTATTAAAAGAGGTGAAAATCACTACAAGTCTGGGCATGTTGAGAGCTGTACATACACACACATTTCATAGTCTTATATTTCAACAGTTTTACGACAAACTGTGACTTTTGGAAATTATTATTTAAGATTGACAAACATGCGGTGCTTCCCTAAGCGTCAAATACCGCCGCCGATGGGAATACATTGCAATCAGTTGAAAGCTCTTTGTGTCCGTTTATGAAGCTGAAGGAGCCTTGGCGCGTCCCCACTGCACGCCACGGGACCCTTACCAAGCGTCGCTCCTGGACGCTTAGGGAGTGAGAGTGTGTTGGTTTGGCGTGTGTTACCATTAGCATACTAATATAATAATAATAATAATCGAACAACGCCGACACGCCGTCCTCGTCCGATCCACCACTCACACTCCATCGTTATTGTAGTCCACAGGGAACCCGAAATGTTCCCACACAGCTGATTTAAAAGAAGCAGGAGGGTCTTCTAGCTCTTGTGTGTTATCTGAACTCGCCATACTAACTTTTCTTCTTCTTGTATTTTGTTCGTTGTGTTGTGTTTTCTTCTTCTTCTTCATTTGTTGTTTAAGGGCGGCTGGCAAACAGTTTTTAGGCGCAATACCGCCCTCTGGATTATATATAGTGTAATGGATACTGCCCTGAATGACATTCAGTCAGTTTTTTCCCACTCGTAAAAAAAGGCGTATTCGTTGTGTGACTGCATGCACCGAACCGTGACGGTACGGGACGAATACGGATACCGTTACACCCCTAATATATATATATCAAGTACAGTAACTACAACTAGCTAACGTTGTAGCCTAGCAGAGTGGACAAGTTGCTGTTAGCTGACAGTGAGGCACATACCTGTCCATCAAAGTGACCACGCCCTAATTTATGCAAATACTTTAAGACCTAATATAAATAAAAGGGTCGCGTTATAAAACAATTCACTCACCAATTCATAATCATGAAGGTGGAATCAAACTATATCCCGAATAATTTGTATTGCATCCAGGGGCAGAAACATGTTTATTTCTGCTGTAAAGTTGGGCATTTTAACATGGGGTCTATGGAAATGTATCCTTTCTGCAGTTTGTGGCACTTCCTTATTGGCCTCCCGGCTCTGCCCCAGAGTTTGCCGCTTGGGTAAAACACACCTCTGTGTGATTCTCCGCGAGCGTGGATTGTCCTCTCTGTCTTCTCTTTGTAGGCTCGGTGAGTTGTTCTGGCAGTCCCTGAATGGAAGGCTTGTCACCTCTCCTCCTTGAACTTGTGATCACACACGAACACACACGCGCACATGCATGGTGAATCACCTCCAGAGCAGCCGTCCATCCTTTTTACACCACACTTCAATCTGTCAGTCTGTCGTTTTTAATTGAAAGTGGGCTTGCTTGATAGCTGTTCAATGCAGAGAAGGGTGGGTCGATTTACACAATATCAATTGTTTATCTTAATGTGTTATCTTGCATTGTTAATCTGCTTTCATTCAGCTTTCTGCTCTTTTTCCGATAGCAGACATTTGTTAAGGATGATCTGATTAAGCTACTGTACTGTATAATCAATCTGCAGAAAAAGGTCCAGCCAATTTAACATAAGCAGTGGCTAAAACCACACATTAAGCGCTTCGAGATTTGTCTTGGCAGATGAGAAGCGCTATATAAATTAAATGTATTATTATTATTATTATTAGTTTACCTCCATCAGAAAACACATTGGGAATATTTATTTACTATTCTTTTTTTTTTTCGTGGAGAGCAAGAAAAAAAAGAAAAAAAAACAACAAGTGAAGGGAAAGACAGAGGGATGGACGAAAAATAAATCAACAGAAGAATACAGACAGAAAGTAAACAGCAGAAGAAAACAGCAGAAGAAATACAGGAAGTAAACACTAAAGGGAACAGCAGAAGAAGACATACCGTAACATCCCGATAGCAATGAATATATTAAATGCTTTGACAATAAATACATTAAAAAATGTCATCTGTGGAAGCCGTGGCGCTGTAAAAAGCACGACCAATCATTTTAGCCGGCCCGGCTAAAATAACTGTATGGCCTACCTGCCTGTCAGCCTTCCATCTGTGCACAAACTTATCTCGTGCCCTCATTGGTCATGTGCACGTTTGTGTGTGATGGAGGAGGGGCTCTGTAAGAAAGTCTGAAGGAAGAGGCAGATTTGTTCAGGTTGTGTACTTTCAAATTCTAGCGCACTCGAGCTGGTTTCTCCAAAATTACATACTCCACCTTTAAGGGAACAGCAGAAGAAGACAGACAGGAAGTAAACACTAAAGGGAAAAGCAGAAGAAGACATACAGGTAGTAAACACTAAAGGGAAAAGCATAATAAAACATACAAGAAGTGAACCATAAAGGGAACAGCAGATGAAGACAAACAAGTAAATGCTGAAGGGAAGCAGAAGAAAACATGGATGAAGAAACACTAAACTAAACTATCTAGTTTAGTTTTTACTAGTACTATCGTTCAAAACCTCTATGCTTCGCTTCACAGTCCTGATCACCCTGTTGGGGTTCCTTTCGCTATAATGACTGGCTCACTGCAAATTATCCCTGACATAGACACGGCAATGGGCTACTTGGTGTTCCCTCTGAGTCATTCGTGACTGGAACCTGCCCAGTAGCTTTGTTATTAGTTTCTGCACAACTCACCACTTTCCCGCATCAGCCGTTTTTCTAAGAAAATGAATTTCTTATAAATTCTTTGCTCTTCTTCTATTTTCCAACTCTGCAGTCAAACCTAAAACTGCTCCTGTCTTTGGGGCTGAAGTCATTCGAGGCTTGCCGCTCAACATGGTGCTGATTGCTTTCACAAGCCTGAACCTTTACATATGCGACATCTCCAAATCTGTCCCCTCAAAATGTCTTAGTTTACTTTCATGTTTGAGGCCCTTATTAATCATCATCATATCAATGTCAATCAGAATCAGAATACTTTATTTATCCTTGGGGAAATTGGGTTTTACATCAGCTGCTCCTTTTTAGAAAAGAAATCAAATAGAATACAAATATTTACATAAGAAGAAGTACGGCGTACAGAGAGGAGGTCGAAACCCTGGTGCCAGGATAACAACCTCCATCTCAACGTCAGCAAAACCAAGGAGCTGATTGTGGATTACCGGAAGCAGCAGAGAGGGACACGCCCCCATCGCCATCAATGGGACTACGGTGGAGAGAGTCAGCAGCTTCAGGTTCCTCGGTGTCCACATCACTGAGGACCTGACATGGACTCATCACACTAACACCATCACCAAAAAAGCTCGACAGCGGCTCTTCTTCCTCCGCAAGCTGAGGTTCAACATGGACTCCAGGATACTCTGCAACTTCTACAGGTGCACCATATAGAGGATCCTGACCTTACAGGTGCACCATAGAGAGGATCCTGACCTTCTACAGGTGCACCATAGAGAGGATCCTGACCTTCTACAGGTGCACCATAGAGAGGATTCTGACCTTCTACAGGTGCACCATAGAGAGGATCCTGACCTTCTACAGGTGCACCATAGAGAGGATCCTGACCTTCTACAGGTGCACCATAGAGAGGATCCTGACCTTCTACAGGTGCACCATAGAGAGCATCCTGACCTTCTACAGGTGCACCATAGAGAGGATCCTGACCTTCTACAGGTGCACCATAGAGAGGATCCTGACCTTCTACAGGTGCACCATAGAGAGCATCCTGACCTTCTACAGGTGCACCATAGAGAGGATCCTGACCTTCTACAGGTGCACCATAGAGAGGATCCTGACCTTCTAAAGGTGCACCATAGAGAGCATCCTGACCTTCTACAGGTGCACCATAGAGAGGATCCTGACCTTCTACAGGTGCACCATAGAGAGGATCCTGACCTTCTACAGGTGCACCATAGAGAGCATCCTGACCTTCTAAAGGTGCACCATAGAGAGTATCCTGACCTTCTACAGGTGCACCATAGAGAGCATCCTGACCTTCTAAAGGTGCACCATAGAGAGAATCCTGACTGGCTGCATCACAGCCTGGTACAGCAGCTGCACCGCTCTCAATCGTAAGACTTTACAGAGGGTGGTGAAAACTGCACAGCACATTACCAGGACGGTTTTCATCGATTTTCATTGTCATAACTACACTGTAGCTATGCACACATAGCTCAATAAAAGCCTTGAAACCTTTTTCCTTTTCTACCAGGAAATGTTAATCAAGCGAAGTGGCAAATGCAGAGTTTGACAGTAATTACAAAGACTCAATCAATGAAAACACTGTCGGGTTCGTTCTGAAAGAGCATTGGTCATCTTTATGGAAGATGCTGATAATACTTAAATTGGACCCGAAATTGGCTGAAATAAAAATACTTTATCCACTCAAATAATATTTTTCATTTGATGTTAATCAACATCGACAGAAATAAAACAGAAGAGCAGCTGGTGTGTTTGCTTTCAATGCATCCTTCTACCCATTATTCCATGAGTTGTCTAAATCTCACTGCTCCTTCTTGCTTCATTACTCCCCACTGAAACACATTGACGGTTTCTCATTTCTCTAATTCCCCTCCTCGACTCCTATCCTCGACTCCTATCCTCATGTCTTAGTCCCGCCCACAGGAGATGCGAGCGGAGGAGTCGAGGAGGGGAACCGAGAAGAGAGGAGTGGAAGCAGCAGGCGGTTAGAGAAATGAGAACTCCTCTCCTCTGAGCGGTCATTTTAAAGAGACCTCCGTTAATGATGACAGGAGGCACAGCAGCATTCTGTCTGATGGACAGATGTGTTCATGATGACTTATATATTTAATTTAATTAATTGACAGTGCGGTATAATGAGACAACAGGCTACAGATGCAGACATATACACACAAGTATGAGAGCACTCTCATAATAACATAACACTACTGTCTCTGATACTTGGTTACAAGTTTTAAAAGTAAGCATAGGACACCAAACCAACTGAGACCTGTCTGTCCGCCACACACACACACACACACACACACACACACACACACACACACACACACACACACACACACACACACACACACACACACACACACACACACACACACACACACACACACACACACACACACACACACACACACACACACACACACACACACACACACACACACACACACACACACACCTCGGTTATAGCTCCTCCAGAGAGCCTCCTTGATGCTCGATCCTCGATGTGCATTTAGAGAAATTAGATGTCCTTCAACATGGCGCGCTGAAATCCATTTCCGGGTCACTACCGAGGAGTCGAGGAGGGGAAATTAGAGAAATGAGAAACCTTCATTGTGTGTTAATCCCTTGTGCATTAGGAAGCCGTTTGAACGTGAGTCCGAATGACTGACTTCACCACAAACAATAAAATTGACCAAAGAGATCCAGGCACAGAATGCAAATACATTGAGTGGCCATTGGAGACAAAATGTTTTGGCATTGAGAATATATTCAGATGCACCTAATAAAAAATAATTGAATATGTAGAGAAAGAACACCAAGCCCAGAGGATTTGAGCCTTCTATCTGACACTGCACGCCTGTATACAGAACCCTTGATCTACGACACAGATTGTCATGAAATATTTCTCCTCCATGAAGTACATAAATAACACTGATGGTAGGGGTGATTGTGTAAGTCGGAGATGCACGGTCCTATGCCTAACCGCCTCTGGAACACACTGCAAAGCGGTCTTACTCCAAAAATATAGCCACTCGTTAAAGGACGGCCGAGCACTCATTCCCAATCTCATTAATCACTGGCACTTGTTGCAGCCGATACGCCGACATGCTGACATGGCTTTTCTGGAAATATATAGTCCTCCATGCTAAAGGGGGTTTCTCTGTGCAACCCTCCTCCATCTTCCATCCATGTCTTCCATCAGTTTCCCCCCCATTTGCTGATTGTTATTTTTTAAACTCTACCCAGTACTTTTAGTTGCAGATTAAGCTTCCTTTCTCCATCCCTTAAAGGGGACCTATCATGCAAAATGCACTTTTGTATGTCTTTTATACATGAATATGTGTCCCCGGTGTTCCAGGGAACTCACCAAGTGTCAGAAAACACAACCCTCTCTATTTTCCTCCATACCCAAATCTCTAAAAAAGGGGCTGCAACGGATCTGATACAGACTGATCCAGATTTGAACACTTCTATGACGTCACAGAAGTGGCGCTATGGCTATTGGGCCAACTCTCCACCTATCAGGGGAATGTGGGGTTGGGCCACATTATGGTGAATGAGCCAAGGGTCTCAATTTCCCAGGATCCTTTACCCTATATCACTTCCTGTGTCTGCATACCGAAGTTCCCTAAACCCCGCCCAAGGACTTAATGTACAGTAGCGATTGGTTGTTCGAGCCTGACAAAAAATGGCAGTAGATGAAAAGTAGAAGAAATACAGGAAGTAAACACTAAAGGGCCAAAAGAAAAAAAAACTATAGCCAAAAGAAGGTGCAAACATGAACATTTCCCTCGAGATTATGCCTCATCATCTTTTTCCATTCTTTTAGTTTTCCTCTTCTTTCCCTTATCCTCCCTTTATTTTTACACTAGCTTCCCTTCATGCTCCCAGCAGCCTAACCAACCTTTCAATTACACCTTACCTCCTTCCTTACACCTCCATCTTCCACTTGTGGGAAGTTGCTAATTAATTGACTGGGATTTTCCCTCTGACTCATGATGTGAATTATGCAGCAGCATAGCATGTTTACTGTTCCTTCCCTCCCATATACCCGTCTTCCTATAATCCTATCCCTCACACTTGCCTTTCCCCTCTGTTTTTGCAGTCCCTTCCTCCCCGTGTCATTAAACAAGGCCCCGCCCCTTTCCCTTCCTTCGTCACTCTGATGAGGGTGACTCACCGTGGCTAGTGTTGATCATGTCGCTGAAAAAATCTGTCTGGGTGAAGGTCATTGGATTTTCTCGGAGGGGGGGTTGTCCACTGAAGGGGCTATGGAAGGAGAAGGAGGACTGAGCGATTGCAGAGTTGATAACCTTCACCGGCTCACAGCAGCATAAATCCATAGCTTAGTAAGGGGGGAGACACTTAATGAAGGATATATTGTCCCTCTTCTGGAGGGGTTTCCTGAGGAAGAGATTAATTGGAAAATATATGAGCTAGCATGCTGTAACACTTCTTACACAATCTAGATTTATCGTGGCTTCAAGTTCAGAGGTATTCTCCAGAATCCTATTAATGCAACTGAACAAAAGAAGCTAATCCAAATCTATCTACTAATTTCAGGATGCTTTCAGCTTGGAAATGGAGGATTTTGAATCATCTTTATCAAGTATTAAAGGTAGGGTAGGTAAGAATGGAGAAACCAGCTTGAGTGCGCTAGAATTTGAAAGTACGCAAATGCTACATTGACAATGCTAAAAGCCAAAACCAATAATGTATGATTATGAGGCAGCATGATAGTCTGTAGGCTAAAGCTAGTGTGAAGAGTTCAAGAACATGTTAGTTAGTTAGCTAAATGTTTTGTTCACATTATTAAATAAATAAATTGTCACACCTTTTGCACTTGGTGCAGAGATTGAGCTGCTCTGAATATCCGAAAACCACATTCCAACAGCGCTGGATTTACGAACGGTCCAGTTCATGCTACATTGGGTTCAGTCGCTCAGTTACGATTTACAAACACATCCTAAGCAAAGCCTCATAATAAGATGTTTAATCTTCGTTTAAGCCATCCTTGTATGAAGAGTCACTACTCCTAAGGGGAGCAATGTGGGGGTTGACACTGTGCGTTTTTGTGTGTGTGTGTGTGTGTGTGTGTTGGGGCTCTATATGCACTTTGCATTTTGAAATACAATACAGTCATGGTCTGCTTATAGAATGTATTTGTGTCCTACATTCATAAAATTGAATTCACTAATGTGAACATGCACACACCCACACTCTAGGGCAGGGATGGGCAAATGGCGGTCATCTGAATTTGGCGAAACAAGTTTAATATTCTAAAAACCAAGACTTTGTTTATTTGAAATCAGATGAAAACAAACTGTCACGGACCCTGCTGTGTTATCTATGATTACTATACGCTTTTCATTCATCATTTCAGCGGGAGGGAGGGGGAGCAACGCTGAGGAACAGCAGAGTGCGGGTTGACAGGTGTCTGTGTTGACATTCCCCTTATTGTGGAATAAGGGAAATGCAGAGACAGGCTACAAGTGTCTTAGGTTCAAGTTAGACAACTAATGTCTGGGTATTGTTCATGACTTCATGTTTATGTCATCTCAATGCACACACATTTTCCGTGCTTTCCAATAGTTTAAAATAGTTTTATTCCATGGTTAAATAACCTGTTCAATACAAACATGCCACTTGTAAAAATGAAATACAATTTCTGTGAACTCATATTTGTTTAGTGAGCTTATGAGAGGATGTTCCCTGAAAGATTGTAAAATGTCAATGAAGATGTCAGACTTAGTATATTTGTTAATATTTACATACAACACATGGAATTTGTGTGTGTGTGTGTTCCAAGTGAATCTGCGGCCCCCTGGTGGCCAGTACATCAATTATGTGGCACCCACCACCATCAAAGTTGCCCATCCCTGCTCTCGGGGAAGGAAAATACCAAGATAAGAGAGAAAATAGGAGTCGGGATGTGATTTGCATTTATAAATGGAAATTGTTTGTCACACACTCGATGGCACTCGGTTTCTCTCCGATGACTACCAGACTGAGTGGGTGAATACTTCCATGCATAACTCAAATTTGAATGTTTCAAAAACTGTTAATTAAGCACAATTCAACTGAATATATTAGCAAAACATCCAAACTTGCGCAACAAGGCTTTTGCTACACACCTAGAAGAACACGCTCTACTCAGACACTTCCCTTAGAACACTGCATGTAATACACTGTGATCACTTACAGTGTGTGAATTTTGACCGTGTGTTGGTAAATTGCACATACCTGCAGAGCCCTCATTGATGTGACGATAACGTTATCCTTAAGATTGCAATCGTTGAGTGCGAGAAGTGGCCAGCGATGTTGAGCGATTGGTTATTATAAATATTACCAGCAGGTAGAGTATCTGATAACCGGCATTGCAGTGTTGATGGCTCTGATCTTTTTCTTTCTATTCGGCTGACCCTTAACCCTCTGGAGTCTAAGGGTATTTTCTCGATTTTTAGATGTTTCCTTAAATCACCTTTTAAATGTATGTGTTATACATGGCACCCCATGTGTTACATATCAAAATGTTTAGGACAATCTCTGGTCTTGCTATAAATGCAAATGACTCACCTTAGATCACTGTGTGATGAGATAAGTAGCTCTAAAGCTTAACATTTGACATCCGATTTTCGGAAAATCTTCAAAACTCTTGTGAAAACACAAATTTACTAATTTCATCCAATTTTTTGGGTGTTTTAGATTTGGTTACCAAAGTCTTAGGATCACAAAAGTAGTGAAATATTTGAATTACACTGTATATAAATGTGTAATTCATGTCTAAAATTAAACAAATTAAATTCGAATTTTGAGTCAAATAGGTGTTTATTTATTTCACCACAGCAGGGACTGAGATACGTTAGGACTGAATAATGACTTCATATTACATACCAAGGTTCATGTGATGTGTACAAATACAAATTGAGCATTCAAACTTTTTTTTTCAACCAACAATTTATTATAAATATGTTTTTTTTTCAATATAAATATAAGAAACTGGAAAATCTCACTATTTACAATATTGAACATCAGAACTTTCAACCAACTATTCATTATAAATGTCAAGACAGTGTCAAGGTCTTTGTCCGTCTTCCAAGACAGTGGGTCTGGCTGCTGTGTAGGTGGGGGTGATGGTGCATGGGCTACTGTGTAGGTGGGGGGTACAAGTGCTATACGAGACCTCCACGAGACCTCCTTGCTGGCTGGGTTGATGGTGATGGCTGTGGTGGAGCCTTTGTGCTGACGTGTATCTTGACCTAGTGGCAGCCACAGATGGAGGTGGAGGCAACTGTAGTGATGCTGGTCCTCTGGTCCTTTGTGGTGATGGCTCTGGTGAAGGCCCTTGAGCCACGGTAGATCTTGACCTGGGGGATGGATGTTCTGGCTGCTGGATAAACGCCGCCTGTGGGCCACTAGGCCCAGGCAACTGTGAAACATCTCTGTAAAACAAATTAAAATGTAGGACAATAATTACAACTAATTTCATTGAAATAAAGTTCAAGTAAAATGTTGCTCAAGCACAAATAACAATGCACACATAAAAAGAAAGTTTGGGAGGTTGGACAGGAGTTTCTCTCTCTCTCACACACACACACACACAGGTATTTCCAGTTACTTTACATTCAGTATAAAATCACAGACACACATCTACATACATCTGATAACAAAGTCTCATCTGTACAGGATGGTAAAATAATCACAGGCACACATATATAAATCTATGACAAAGTTTCATCTGTACAGAACAGTAGGGATGGGTATCGTTAAGGTTTTAACGGGACTACTACTTTTATCGATACCGCTTATCGGTCCGGTCTTTTAACGGTACTTTTATCGGTTCTTTTGGAGAGAAAAAACGAGGTAAATTAACTATATGTTGTATGTCAGGGACTACGAATCAGTGTTAATTTCGTCAACGAAAACTATGACGAAAAATGTTCGTCAACGACCTTTTTTACATGACTAAGACGAGACGATAACGAGCTAAAAATCGATTCTTGATAACGAAAACTATGACGAAATGTATATTTAGTTTTCGTTGACGAGACGGAACTAAGGTGTTAATGGTGGACTATCGGACATTCAAAATGCAGCATATTTTCCCCCAATTGTCCGTCTTGTCTGTCAAAATGCATTTTACGTTTCTAACTTGCAATATCATTATTTCCGCTCTCTTCACTCCAGAAGAGCGATCTCCCTGTGTCTCTGTGTGTGCGGGAGGCGGGGCCTAACAGACACGCTGCAGCGGACACAGAGATCTGCCGGGGACGGAGCGTTCAGAGAGTATAGAGACACTCTACAAGGCTCGATGTGGAAAAAGCTCGTTTGCCATTAGTGTTATGGCGTAAGCGCGTTGACACGAGTAGAGTAGTCTGTCCAAACAGCCGGCCAAAAGGCGTCATATTCAGTAGGAGAAATGCACAATTTCCGACTTCCTTAACTCGTAGCTCTGTTGCGCCAATTACGAGTAACGTTATCACATCAGGTGCGCAGAGGTGGGAGAAGTACTCAGATCTTGTAGTTAAGTAAAAATACCATAGTGTATGAATACTCTGTTACAGTAAAAGTCCTGCATTCAAAATGTTCCTCAAGTAAAAGTATAAAAGTAGCGACAGTAAAAGTAGTCATTGTGCAGATTGGTCCATTCCAGAATAATATATATGATATATTTTATAATTATTGATCATCAAAGTGTTCTCAAAGCTAGTAAAGGTGCAGCTAGTTTGAATGACTTTGTATACTGCAGGGTAGCTTGTGAATTTACTCCAGGTGGAAATAAAGTCTGATTTAAGACTTGTTTATATTTCACATCATTAATCCAAATCTGTGAAGTAACTAAAGTAAAAGACTTCCATTTTGACTAAAAGTTGACTAAAATGTAATTTTTCATCGACTAAAAGTTGACTAAAACGTTTTGAGTTTTCGTCGACTAAAACTAGACTAAAACTACGAAGGATAGGAATGACTAAAATGTGACTAAAACTAATAACCATTTTCGCCTAAAGACTAAGACTAAATCAAAAACAGCTGCCAAAATTAACACTGCTACGAATGGAAATTAGCTCAAAGATAAAATCCGGCATATTTACACTTGAAGCATTATTTGTCTAAAGTGTTCATTAATGTGCATTGTCCCTATTCAAATAAACGATTAAATGAAAATAAACAAATTGTGAACAAAACTAACATTGCTTTTGATTTAAATTAAATACATAATAACAACAACAACGTTTTAACACATCGTATTAAATAATCTGATGACAGAACTGTAAACAGAATAGCTGAATCTTTAACAAACTAAATAACTCAGTTACCTCTAATCATTAACCCATGTTTGTATAATTGAGTTAACTCTGTGTGTTACTGCTAGCATACATAACACCTGACGTGGAAACGTTACTCGTGGAGGCGGCTACAGAGCTACTAGAAAGACAGTCGAAAACGGTGCATTTTCTCCGTCTGGATGTGGTGCACTTTTGCTAAATGTTCAGACAAATTGCAACGAACATTGTCCACCTCGAGACGGGTAAAGTTTAACCACACCTCTCCGCCATCTCCTCTGTGTGTGTGTTGCTGCATGTAGCAGAGCGTGTGTGTAAACTGCCCCGCCCCCTCGCAAGCAGGCGGGGGAGAGAGATCGAAAATACAAAAAATTACGCATTTTGCAGTCTTTTTGCATATTAGAAACGGAGTTGGCGACACTAAAACTGCAATATAATGTTTGTGTACCAATAATACACATGAATTGACGTAAGTTAAGTAACTATCTGGGGAAGTTGTGAGGTGATGTGTTTTTTGCCTTGGTAACTGCATGCAAATTAGCGCATTTTAATTAGGCCTAGTTAACGCCTAATTTGCATATCAATGTGGCGATTGTGATGATGTTATTAGATACACATTTGACTGTATTCACTTTAAGTGTCTCTCCTTAAGTACAGTACATTAGCCTGTATGCCCATGATACATTGCCTTAGCTAAACCTTGAGCTAACTTATCCATTAGCTAGTAGCCTACCTTAGTTAATTATATTTGTTATTGTCTTTTAGCTAATTAGCTGTAATCTCGAGGCACTGGCAGTTTAGTAATTTGCTCATCACCAGTCACCTTCAAAATAAGCCAAGTAAAGCCGGCATAACATGGGACAGTAAAGTGGGAGGTGCTGCTACCTGTTTATCTGAAGTGACTGCCGATGTCCGCACCGCTGTGCAGGAGATGTGGAGGGAGGGAGGGAGCAGGGGCGGATCTACCGGGGTGGCATGGGGTGGCAACTGCATGGGGTGGCAACTGCCACCCTAAAAATAGGCCTTGCCACCCCAGTTGGCATCTTTGTTTTGAAAGAAAAGTTGTGGCTCATCGGACATTTATGAGAGAAAATCTCTAATGTCCGAGTGCAAGTGAATGCAGCACAAGACGCGAGCCTTGTAACCCCTCCCCCGGCCCTGGCGCGAGCTTGGAAATATGATTGGCGGCGATTTCATTTGAACGGGACGGCGCAAAACGAGAAGCATTCGAACCCAAGTAGACGGAAGGAATGAGGTATTTGCGGTCTACAATGACAGAGAAGAGACTGTCAAGTTTGGCTGTACTCAGCATTGAATCAAAACGCACAGCTTTGGATCTTAATAAGTTTGTGAGGCGTCTTGCTGAACAAGATGGTAATCGCCGCATTCAGCTGTTATAGGCATGCCAACTTGATGCTCTGCTCACGGATGAGCATAAACAACTGTTAAGATGATGACCTTGTATGTGTGTATATCTTTTTTTTCTTTGTGGGGGTCTGCCCCCAAAAAACAGTTTTAAGTCCTGAGAAAGTCAAATAAGACGATGTGTAAAACTGCCCAGCCAAAAAAAAGTACACTTTGATTTAAAGGAAACCTATCATGCTATATTTAAATGATATATTGTAGGGCCATACCTATATAAGGTATATGTATACGTTTCTGTTTTCGAAATACCAAACAGATCATGCATTTTAGCCATGCCTCATTTCGCTCTATGTGCTGTTTGCTGTCTACGGGTCTGATTTTGTGAGCTGCAGCTGACCACGCCCCCCTGCAGGAGAGGGGAGCCGTTCTGATCAGCTGCTGGGCTGTCAGAAGAGGGGGAGAAAAAGAGATCTCCGTCCTCCGTGTTTTATTATAGCCTATATAGAGTCGTTATTCATTTGTTTTAAAGCTCAATAAATAACAAAGAAGACCTTTGACCGGCACTTTTCTAATTTTGTCCGGAAGATTTAAACTTTAACGGACATCTTGACCGGCGAAAGAAACTGAAACTGAAACTCTGCCGCACGGTCCCCTCGTTCCTTGGAAGAGGCGGAGAGGTGGGTGTTTGTCATCTGCTGGTGGACTAACCGGAGAGAATTACAGTGCTTGCCTCGACGGGGAGGGATTGCATTGAATTAAAGCAGCAGAAGGAGCAAACGCTTGCCTCGGGGAGGGAGAAAGAAAGCCACAGTGGAGAATAAACAGAAGGGTAACCATGGTAACCAAGTCTTCTTCGCTGCTTTTGTGGCAGACTACAGCGCCATTTACAGGCCTGGCATATGTACTTCAGCGTCTCCAGCGCTTTCGAGCGGCAATGGCCGGCCGTGGCCCAACCCCACATTCCCCTGATAGGTGGAGAGTTGGCCCAATAGCCGTAGCGCCACTTTCCTGACGTCAGTAAAGTGTTCAAATCTGGATCCGTTTTTATCAGATCCGTTGCAGCCCCTTTTTTAGAGATTTGGGTATGGAGGAAAATAGAGAGGGTTGTGTTTTCTGACACTTGGTGAGTTCCCTGGAACACCGGGGATACATATTCATGTATAAAAGACGTACAAAAGTGCATTTTGCATGATAGGTCACCTTTAACTAGGCCAGTAGGTAAGGACTTTCCACTGGATAATAACTGCAGCGATGTATATATTTTTGCTGAATACACGTTTTTTAACCCTAACTGATGCAGTTAGTCACTTCTTTAATGTTTGTTCTTTCTGATGTAAAGTCAAGGTTGTAACCGTTTGCAGTAAAGTTGTGGGGCGCTGAACTGTTCTTTTGAATCTTTAGAATTTTGATACATGGTATAATTAATTGTCTTTCAAATTTGAAGGAGGGTGAGCAAGCATCTTGAGCAAGCATTCATCATTAACTCCTCCAAATATAGTTTATTCAATAATAAATGAATATGTGAATCATAACAGTGATTGACAGCTGATAGGAATAATATGATTGTTAATAGTATCATATTCATACAGACAAACATCGATGAGACAGTTAATTAATGTACTTATTGCAGCAGTCTGCATACATTTGGTACCCCTGCTGGTCTAAGAGTGAAACAAACTCATTCAGTTATTGTTCAGTTAAAATTCATTTAATTATGTCTGCCACCTTATATATTTATATGTAAGGCTTTACTGATGTGCCACAATAATGTATCCTGATGTTATTGAGTTA